ATCATATTATTATAATTTATTTTTGTATGCTTAAGATTATTAGAAACGTGTTCAAAGAAGTCGCTTGGTGCCATGTACACGGGTCTACTACTTCCGAAAAATCATGTATAGAATCTGATCTGTTGTCCACTGTGCACATGTGGAAAGAACATGTACCTAAAATAATGTAGTAAAAGAGAAGTAAATATTATAGAAATATATGCTATTGCGATAATACGTGTATAACCGAGTCGACAAAGAATATAAAGTTGGAAGCATTCATACTGAGATTATCGTTCACATAAGAATTATTCATTAACATTACGTCCACGTTCTCGTATGTTTGCTCCCAATGGAAGCAAATCTTTCTTTTTTATTTACTCCTATGTTTCTCGAATATGTACAATGTGATGCGCGAGTAACGAATGTGATTGGAATGAGTATGGAAAGAATGAACGTTCTATTTAGTGTTTTCCATAATAGTTTGCTAGCTTTTAGCGCTGATACGTTGTTATATTGATTTATAATTAATGTTATACACAGTAATTATAATTGTATAAGTAACTATAATTGTATAAGAAATTGCCCATTTTAGAAACGGCCGGTGTGCTTGTCATAGATATGAATAACATTAATACATAAAGAAAAATAGCCATATTCTTTCTAAAGTAAACTATTATTTAAAAATAATAAAGTCTGTGTGTATAATTTTAATATTCTTAGACAAAGCAACTTGTATTTTTAAATCGTAAATAATAATTATTTATGTATTTTCCAATAACATGTTGTTATTGGAGAAAATACAAAATTTTTAATCATTATGAAAGTTATAAATGCTTATTAAAGCACGATTTTATACTGTACTCATTTTATTCCATGGAATTTCATTACGCTACTTTAAAGATTCTTTATATGCATAATTTTTCTCAACATATATGATTTATTTTTAGAAGCGAAAATGGCTATGGGAAAGTTGCAACATATAAAAATTAAATCTTTGTTATCATCAGTCTGTTTCATTATTAATTATTAAAAGTTTTGTAAATTTAGTAAATTTGATAACAACGAAACTCATTTATACAAATTAATCAGGCTTAAAATTGTAAAAATATATAACATAATGTACGTATTTTAAATTTTAGTTACACAATTTTATCTTATATGTGTAGACTTGAACGTTTATTTTAAAACATGTCGACAATATATATATAAGAAAAATTGTTAGTCAAGATGCTTATAAAACAATATATTAATATACAACACCTGATGTGCATATGAATATAGCTTCTTGTTGCCTTAATCAATGTAACATGTACAATCAAGAAAATCGAAAGATATATATATTAATTCATAAGATTATACCTGCAGATACATAATAAACAAAGAGTAAATGAATTTTATTGTAAATTATTAATACAATCCTTGAAGAAATAGTAAAGTGTAAAAATGTTTATACTATTATAAATTATTTATCATATATTTATTATATTTTATAAATTGTACAACACAATAATATTCGATTTATTTTACATCTATAAGATAAAATTCATGTTTAATTACAATACGATTTATTTCATATTTGTACTTGGTTCTCAATTACAATTTAAATAACCTTTTAGATTTCAAAATCTTCCTCGGCAGCTGGCAATATTACAGTCGTAATAACCAAAGGTTTCGGATTTGATTTCTTGCAAAGTAATATTTTGACTTTCCCTGATATTTGACTTTTCAAGTTTGCATTAATAGCTAGTGGTATAGGCACAGCACTTGGTAGCAAGGGCAAATCTATCACACGAGGATTCACATCGGTGTCCTCAGCTCTACAGAGAATATACAATTCTGTTGAAGATAAATCTTCAGAAATATTCGTTACTATAATACGAATCATGTAATTGGGACCTAATCCAAGAACATTTGTTTCTAACGTGATAGGATTAGATCCTAGTGCTTGGTTTTCACTTAAATGTTCGGATGCTTGTTTGGCCGTTGTCAAACGTAAGCGAAGAAAGCCTTGCTGAAATGTGTTATGAATCTTCTTTGCTTCGGCTCTCTCTCTTATCGTTTGATCGACAAATAATCGCGTTTTCTTCGGTATCGAGAACTTCGATGTGTTACTCGACGATGAATTCGATATTGAATTATTCGTATTAAAATCAGCAGTGCGCTTTAGAATTTTCATGCATAAACCACCCCCAACAGTGACCATAGCTATTGTCCGTTCCTCTTGTCCCATTCGTCCGTACTGCATTCGTAAAAAAAGATTATATATTCATATTTTGCCATTTTTTTAATATATATAAATGTTGTTGATTTAGGAATACCTTAAGAGCTGATACGGGTTCCATAATTTTCACAGTATCAACATGATGTTTTCCATCGTAAATGCGAATTCCATAGCCTACTGTACTTACAGCTAACAAAGACAGCCCACTTTGCGGTACTGGTAAGCTAACTAGATCTAATATTATACCGGGAATATTGATATGCCATAATTTTATTCCCTATAAGAAATTTATACATCGGAAAGAAATTTAATATAAAGTTTTCAACATTAAATTAAAATTCTTTATACAAGCGTACTGTTTTTGAAAATCCCACTAAAGTACCATCCATAATAGCTACTGCTGCTCCTTGAGAAGTAAGAACAGCAATGGCTACCGCAGGTGCAGGTAACGTTTCCCAAAGTTTTACAGGACTTCCTCTCCTAATTGTTCCTATTTTTCCATCTCTTCCAATAATTATTATGCGACCATCGCCCGTCCATAAGCCGCAGCTGGCAAATTCTGCTGGTGGCCACTCCAATATATGCTTATCCATAACTGAAAAAGCTCTGTATGGCAATTAAATAATATATGTACAGAATGTATATAAAATATTTTAATGAATTTTTTCTTAATTATACAAAAAAAATACCTAGGATCCAAGACGAGAACTTCACAAGCCTCGGTCCCTAATATGAGACAACTACTAGCAGGATCATTCCATGAGTCTCTGCGAATGATCGCAATTGCCGTTAAGGCATTAGCTTTAACAAGCGGTATCCGTCTGTATTGTTCTGCAAAACTCAAGCGCAAGTTATTATCTAAAGAGAGGAACTTTAAAGTACGAGGAGAGAGAAATGCTGCGCCAAGTTCTTTTAGTAACAGCTCCAAATCATCCGCAAGAGTCAACACATTTAATTCTTCGTCCAATCCGCATTTATGCCAAATCTACATTAAATTATTGAATGTCAGAATATATATTACATACTCAGACTAGAAATATCATACATGAAATTGAGATAATCCTATATCATTATTTATTTCTGTATCAATAAAATATAAGTACTTCTCGTTCTTTTGGATGAGCATCAATATGTGGCAGACAATATTTGAAGAATGGTCTCATATTTTTGAAAATATATACGTTAGCTCCAGCTCCTACAGCAACTACGGATGATCGAGGTTCTCCATTTTCCGTATAAAAACCGACTACTCCACAGGGTGGTTCTATCATGTTATGCTCAGTTATCTGATCACCTCCTTTATACACTCGTATCTAAAAATAAAAGAGTAATGTATTTTGTAAATAAATAAAATAAAATTTAATAAATAAAATAAAAAATTGTATAAATTATTCATGAAAGTAAATAAATGTTTTCACATCATTTACTTTTTCTAATTCTAACTTAATGATATGATTATATCTTTAAAACTTTTTAGTCATATAGAATATTCTATTATAATTTACAGAAAAATGAACTTTTCTTTATTCGTTTTTTTCTATATAAAATCCTAATTTTTATAATTATTCTATTATAGTACTATTATAAACTACATAATTTAAGAATATATTTGTACATGTCTTTATTGTATTATTTTCTTGTTGTAATTATACCTTTGTTGAATCGCTTCCAACTGGTCCTAGATCAGCACAAATAAGTCTAGCATCTCCATCACCGCTTATATCTAACATATCAAGCCCACCTGGCAAAGAAAATAAACCAGCACTTGGTTCCCAAAGTGCTTCTAACCAGCGACTCATCCCAAGTCCTCCAAGAGATTTATGATCAGCTCTAAAAAGAAATTCCGATAAAAATAAGTATATAACTAAAAAAATAATGTCTTGATATTTTTATACATACACATACACAATCAATAAAAAAGTTTTTTTACCTTAAACCGTGCATGATTAAAAATTTTTATAAATTCTGTTTCTATATAAGTAGCAAACTTATTTACAGTTTAATTACTAAACTACCTACATATCAGTTTTCTTATTTATGACATCTGTAACATTTAACTATATACATATTGCACAATTCGAACCAAAAGATTTTTTAATTTTTTACATATTTTATCAATTCTATACTAACTGGCAATTTTATAATCTGATAAACTGACATTCCATAATTACGAGCACATGCATTAAAAATTACATTTATATGACAAAATATCATGTGCTTTGTTTGTATATTTGTTTCCATAGAAATCTTTTAACAAATGGCTTGAAAGCGGGAAATTTAACCGTATCAGAAATTCCCTAGAATTAAAAAAATTCTTTAGATTTAGGTTGGCTGCCCTTTTCACAAAAGGCAATCAAAATGAGTTTTCTGAAATCCCCTAGAAACCGCGGGAAAATACATAAAACCAAAGGAAAATCTATAATTATATTAAATTATAAGAACGCGAAAAGGTCAAGAAATATAAACATGATAAAATTTATTTTTTTAATATGTGTAGCTTTTTTCTAATCATGAGATAAAGAAATTTAAATATGCATTTTAAAAATTGTAATAAATGTTTAAAAATTTGTAAGAAATGTTTTATTTTGCGTTATATTTTATTTAAATATGTAAAATAAAGTATTTTATTGCAGAATATAAAAAAAGCTGTAAAATTTTTTTAATATAAAATAATATTTTATTGGAATAAAATGTATATTTCATATAAAATTATTTTATTGTTGCTATTTTCATATAAATTATGACAAATAATCGATGAATATCTAATGAAAAACATTTGTAATTATATTTGCATTGTTAATTTTCATATAATACTGATACTCATGAATATATTTTAATGAAAAAAAAACGTATCAATCACCATCGAAATTTCAAATCCATGTAAACAACATTATTTGTCACATTAGGTACACTCATGCATGTTATATAACACGTTTTTAAAAATTGATAACTGAAACTTATGGAATATACAAAAGATGTTAATATTATACTTATTATTAGTTAAGTTAACATTTAATTCTCCATAGCCATAAATATTGTACGTATGCACATTTAAGAGCATTAATACTGTTCAGTGCGCTTCACAGTCTTTAGGACATATGATTTACCAGCTTTTTCTGTTTGTTCACAGAATAAAGTAGATATGCTATGCTATTAACTATATAAATAAACTATATAAAAGATATTCTTCTTAAATATTACATTAACTGCCGAGTATGAGCGTACCAAATTGATATAGATGCTCTTGATTGCACCTATACATACATATATCTGTACTAATTAGGAAGCCCTCTGTGTATATGTGTCTGTGTGTCTGTTTGACTGTGTATATGCGTATTGTACGTATATATTGTAGATATATGTAACAAACAATAGACCACATGTTTGAGTAATGACCTTAAAGCTATTTGAACACAGCCAACAGTCACATTAATTATATATCACACCAATGCATAGAATAACATACAAAAATGATTATTTTACATATAATTTAAAAAATACAAAATTGATAAAAAAAAATAACAAATTGAGATTCCTAGAAAATGGCACATAATTTCTAATTAAATACTGATTGTTTTAACGAAGTAATGTTGATAATGGAGAAGATGGTGGCAATGACGGAGATGGAGGCCTTGCAGCAAGAGTTTCCAATTCACTGCAATGAAATTGACATACGGAGCTAGAAGTGCTTAGAGTTGATTCCGAAAGCATTCCCCGTCCTTTATAAGCTTTTCTCGCTCGATTGTTATCCTTGTCAGTTTCAACTACACCGCTATCATCATATTTACGAAAACAAATTGATAATATTTTCAGTCTGTAAAAAATTCAAGTTATAATCATTGATTAATTTATATTTTGTAATGTTCAATTGCTTTATTTTAAATATTATTATATTTTTAATATATTATAAACTTATATATTATATAATAAAAATTGATTACCTGGGATATTCAAACTGAGCAAATTGTGAAGACGGTCCTATAACTGCTAACATTGGACATAAAAACAATGTTGCATATATCCAACTTACTCCCATGACAAGCACTAAAAAAAGACCGATTTGTATATATGCTAGCACATGAGAAGGTAACATTAAAGCACCCGCAGCACCGCTTGTAATTGCTGCCATAAGAGTAGGACCACCCATTTGTTGTAATGCCGCTTTTACTCTGTCTATTTTCTTCTCAGAGACGCATGCTTTATAACTCACAGCGTAATGCAAGCTAAAGTCCACAGCAAGTCCTAATAAAACAAAAATATGTCCAGAAATATTAATTTCACAAATAGTTTAAACTCATCTTTTAACTTTTATTTACCTATTGCTGTAGTGATTGCAACACTTTCTAAAATATTTAGTTTCCATCCAAGAAGAATAAGTATTGCCACGGTTACAATTATTACAGCACCAATAGCTAGAATTGCATACAGGCTAATAAGAGGATTTAAGGTCACCAGTGCTAATACTATTAGAGCCAAAGTTAGCGATACTCCCATCGCATATAAAGTTCCATGATATAATGTACGCTGGAGCTCGTAAAATTCTAGATGGCTGATAAACCATCCGCGTCGCATCCCTCGAGGTGCAGTTCGTAATTGATTCTGCATCCAATTTTCAACCTGTATTTAAATTCAAGAAGTTCAATTAAACTTTACTTTAAGGATTTATACTTTTGCAAATATTATCAATTCATGTCGTTATTTATTAATACCAAATAAGTAATACTTGCTTCATTAAAAAATTTATCCATATTTCCAAACGAGAGACTATATGCATATGTGCTATCATATTCAACAATAAGCGCTTTAATTTTAGGTGTTATTTTACTCGGAAACGAATCATTTGATGCCTGCGCGGACAATAATGGTTCTTTAACAAATTTTGGGCCTGCAGAAATTGGACCAGTCCGAAACCATAAATGAGGCGTGTGATGTATTCTATCACTAGCTTCAGCTGCACATTGTTGCAGAACGCTTGGTGTATAAGGAAATTGACTGCTTTTGCAACATGGTACATACTCAATCTGAGGATCGATAGGATCCTTACAATGTCTCTTCATCCATAAACGTAATGGTTCAATGAAGCAATTGGATAATAAAGGTCCTGTAGTACTGCGGTAAAAAGATTGTTTCCGTAAATTTCGGCAAAATTGTTCAAGCCATTTGAAAAAATTTTTAAAAGCCATATTTGAGATTTTGGATGAGAAATATTAAAAGTATCATCCCAGTCAGGTATTCCTCGTTTACGAGGATCAAGGTAATCACCATTATCGACTGGATTTATGCCCCAAACAAACCTTAATGGTAAAACTTCAGCATCTCCATATATATATATATATATATATATATTTGTGATGCAAATATATCTACATAAGTAAAATAAGCACCATTTCATATCGTTCAAACCAAAATCTCCGTGAATATATTAGATCATATTGTTCAAACGGATGTGTATCATGGAATAATTGAAAATCCATATAATCTGGCAGTTGCAAACCCGGATAATGGAAGACGATACTGCAACACGCTGATGCCATGATAGCCAAACTTAATAACCAAAACCAACGTAATCGAAGCACTAATCCAGTAAGAAAGGTGGTAAATCCTATTGTAACTTTATCTCCCAAAGATCGTAAAGGACGAATAATTCTTCTGGTAATAAAGTTGACAGGCGATAGAGTGGATAATTTACAATGTTCTGACACAATCACACACGCAGGTAACCATGTAATCATCAAGAAAAAGTTTGCAATGACTGTCATACCTGCAAATAAACTATACAAAATTTATTATATATGATAGTCAAGATCATATATGATAATCAAGATCATTTAAGTATGGAATAGAAAAATGTTCTATAAATTAGCTCTACAATAAAATTAGTACCTAAAGCAATTGATGGCAGTCACATTACTGACAATTGATGCAAAAAAAGCTACTGCTGTCGTAAGAGATGTAACAAACATAGCTGGGAAAGCATGTATCATTGTTTCTTGTACCAACAGTACTAATCCGTCATTTGAAAGTTTTTGTTCTTTCTTAGATTCCCATACCTTACAATAAATAAATGCATCATCTGCTCCAATACCTGTAAAAAAAAATTTGTTATAATAATGTATCTACAGCATTTTTATGTAGATTTTACTTATTTTGATATAATAAAATACTAACCTACGGCTACAACAATGGCCAATAAATTCATAAATGGGAAAAATTTAATATGTAAAACAACAGTATAAATTGCATATGAAATGCCAAGGCTAAATACTACTGCGAAAAATGTTGCTATAGTCAATACTATAGAACCAGTATATGCCCAGATACAAAATGTAACAAAGATAAAACCGACGAGTACCAGACTCGAATCAGATAATATATCGCGATCAAATAGTGTACTTTTTAGACCAAGTTGAATGCCTTGAACACGAAAGTTTCCATATATTAAATCATTATTATCTATTGCTTTATAAAAATCTAAAGTTGCAGAGCTTGCCGCAATTGGAAGAAATAACATTGCTGAATGCAATGTCGAATTTTGTTTGCTGTTGGGATCCGTCTTCTGTAACAATCCAATTAATATATTCAATATCGAATTAAATATTTATTTGTTAAAACACTAATTAAAGTTATGATCAATGGACTCTTACACTCGGAATAAAATTAACGTCTAAAAGATAGTGTAGTAAATGATAAGCTGCATTTCTCATGTAGCATTCGTTTGGCACATGTTTTTGGCAATTGAAGTCTTCTGCACAGTTAGGCGTCAACTGGCGATTATGATAGTAATAAGCGCATTGTTGCAAAAGTGTTTTTACTCTGCTCAGATCATTTTCTGTTACTCCCAAACAAGAACTGCGATTGGATAAAAGTGCCACATAGTTAGCTGGTGACCAACTTCTACAACATTTATGATCTGCCGCATCATTACGATTGATTTGCGTCTGGCACAAAGATGGAAAGTGAACGTTTCCACGAAGTACACCATCAATATGACATTGAGCTAATACACCCTCCATAGACCACAAATTTTTTTCCTCTGAATCTACGGTAATCACAACACGAGCATACGAAGAAGTTGGTAAATTACAGAAAAAATTATCACTATCAAGATGATCTTGAGTCTTCTCTTCTATATCTGCATTATGCGTATCTCTCAATTCTAATAATTCTTCCCATGTATCTTTGTCTTCTTCATTTGCTTCTTTATCTGTGTTATTTAACATTGTTTCATGTTTCTTTCCCTTTTGTTTATTTTTACTTTTTGATTTTTTTCTAAGAATACCCTGAGTAGATAAACTACGATTTTGCATATTAGACTGAAAAATTAAGTTAAAAATTTAATGTAATACTAATTATTTAACATATACTATATATAATATTTCTAAATATTATCTAAAATAATTAAAAAAAAGTGAGACTATACAGTTAAAAAAAAATTTTATCATTCATACCTGTTGAGTTAGTTGATGACGTACATATTGATAATATTCTAAAGGATTATCAGTAAGTTCTCCTCTTCCTTTTGTAGCTTCTATTAAATGATTCCAAGCTGTCAGTCTTTGTGCTAAAACTGTACCTCTTGCCTCAAAACCCTATAGTATACGGTTATTATAGGCGTCTTCATCTTATATTTTCTATTAACAAATAACAAAGTTAATCATGCTATTAAATTATAAAAATAATTTCTGTGTCGTTTAAGCATGTGACTACTGAAAAATTTCCTATATATATATATATATATATATATATGTGTATATATAACTTTTTTAAATATCTATTTTAAATAAATATTTTTAGATGTATTTTTATTGTAGATCAATACATATATGATTAATAATCGTCATGTATCATTCGTCAGTATACAGTTTGTTGAAGAATTTGTGATAGTATTAAAATACCCTTCTATAACAAAGGTAATAGTCTTGCATCACATAATTATGCTCGTCTCATTTTATTCAAATACCTCCGCAGGAAGGTACCAAATGGTTTCTGTCGAACAATTTTGTTGTTTCCTTTATTTCTATTACAGTTCACGTTCAGAGTCTAATTTTAAAAGCAGCGGAATAAATTTTAATGTCCGAGTCGCGAATGCAGAAACGACCATACGAATGTAGTAAATTTCAACATATGCGAATAAAGCAAATTATTAGAATTTGTAGATGCTTCTTCTTATTATCATGTCATTAATCAATTCAAATAAAAAATGTGTTGTACTCGTGATTATCTCGTTAATATTCCACGCGGAGAAATCGCATTGTGCATCTACTCGAAATGACAACACGTGTTTACATTACAATGACGAATGGTACGATCCGTTGCTGCTGGACGAGACGCTTTTTTCACACATGCGCAGCGACAACCAACGACAACATACTAACAATAGTATCCCGATTCGGAGCTTTGCCTTGCTCTGCTTCGCTCCGAGTTATTTTAGCAGACATTCAATATGAAAGATTAAATGCTTGAGATTAATTAAAAATAAATAACAATTCGTTAAATGCAGCATTAAAATAATGGCTTAGTTTACATCATGCACTTGATACGAATACTAACTAATAACTTTCTATTGAATTATCTATAATTTTGGCGATACGTATAAATAATATATATTATATAATGTATACGAGATATATGTTTAATTAATTATTTTGACGCATATTGTATAATTTAATACAACATTCTTTGAATAACATCGCTCTGATGCCCATTTTCACCAATATAAGATGCATTCGGCATTGCAAATCGGAGGCGTCCGTTTGCTCTTTTACCTCGAAAATCATTCGGCAACTCGCATCTTTCTGCTACACTACATGTCATCTCATCTGCGTTCAATATTAACATTTCTAGAGCCAATCGAGCTGCTCGATCCACACCGGATTCGAAGACCGAGCTCGCAAAGTTATAATACAGATTTTCGCGCCTAAATTAAATTCATAACCTGTATATTTATTATAATGTATCCTGACTCGTTAACACATACATTCATCTCTTTTAATACTTCTATTTTATATAGTTTATTTGAACTGTTATAATGTGTAAGTCTACAAACGTTGAAACAAATGCAATCAAATAGAAATTGATGGAGTACATTATGTACAATATTTAACGAGGAAAGTAAATTTTTAATTGTTTTTCTCTTTATGAATTTGAGATTACATATTTAAAAACAAAGAATTTGCTAATTAATTTTTAGATCAAAGCTTGTTGCATTAAGTCTATGTTGTACATATAGAATGAAATAAAATCAAACTGTATTAATATATTAAAAATTCTAACGAATATAAATCAAGTGATATAACTTAAAAATTTCAAATTGCTGAAATTTATTTGCAATGTAATATTTTCTTTTAAGAAAACACATCTTACGTATGAGTCTGCTACATTCATGTGTAACGATCTATTTTTAGTATATAAGATTATTATCAGTTTTTAGTAAAACGAAAGATATTTTCAATTAACAAAGTATTTTTATTTATTTCGCAAAAACAAACAATTTCATTTTATAATCTAACTTTAAAGGGTAGTTTACAACTCTGTATCGTTCGGAATTAATTCTTGGCATCCGGATTGCTCGAAGATCACGTGATCAAGCTCGCCATCTGCTAGCTCGCATCTCAGATTTACATTGTCGGACGCATTTACAGATTAATTTTAATCTCGGTTCAAATTAGGGGTTTCGCACAATAAAAGGAATAGAGAATAAAAATTTCAACCTATCAGAAATCATATATTGTGGAATACACAGTTTCTGATAGGTTAAAATTCTTAACTCGTATTCAAAGTCAGGCCTTATATTTAAGGCTCCCTTAAATTTATCTTTACGAATTATTTCATTGGCTGCTGAACATCTAAAGATAAATTTAAGGAAGTCTTAAGTATAAAGTCTGACTATGAATATGAGCATTATTCTCTGTTCTTTGTTCCCTGATTCTTTTATTGTGCAGAACCCCTTATTATTCATCTTTTTCTAGTTCTAAAAATTAGAAAAAGATGAATAGTAAAGGCTACTTTCACCAAACTAGATTAAATCCGAGATAACTTAACAATAACTTTGCATGATTCCAACTGAATTCCGTGTGATTTCATCCTTAGGGGCTTCGCACAATAAAAGGAATAGGGAACAGAGAATAAGAATTTCAACCTATCAGAAATCATGTATTGAAATACACAGTTTCTGATAGGTTGAAATTCTTATATTTCACTAATTATAATTAATTGTAATTTTACATATTATATTGAACACAAAAATAGGTTATTAACAAACAACTACCAGAGAAAAACCTTGCTACATAAGTTAGTATTACAAATCTATATTTATAACTTCTCTTTTTGCATTTTTTTTCTTCGACATCAGCTTCAGTTGGAATCCTGCAAAATTATTAGGCCCGTTAAGTTAATCGAAGCTTAATGAAAGTGGCCCTAAGTCGAGATTAAAGTTAATCTACATTGATAGAAATGAACATGACACTAAAATAATTTAATAGAAAGTTACTAATTATCAGTATGTGTATCAAGTGCATGATGTAAACTAGGACAATAAGTAGTTATATATTATAAAAAATTATATATTGTACAATATTTTAAGCGCCTAGTAATCTTAACTCTCGGCAGCCAATAATAGAATGCTGTTGTTAGAAACGACTTTCTATTCCCTAGAAAATGAATCTTTTGATTGGATAGAGAATCGTGTCAAAAAAATAGAATTTCCTTAGAGACGAGATTTGCTGAGCTTTCTGCACTTTTTACCTTTCTCCTTTTGTCTTTCTTTCTTTCTCACACATACGATACATCATCATCTATCTTATTTTAAGTGCAGAAGAGAAGACGTTATCGTGCAGCTGCAAATAGCAAACGGAGCAAATCTGTATACTGAATCTTCACTTCAATGATCAATCTAGCCGGAGTGAGAAAATAGGGATAGTTGGCTTGTAGGCGTGTTATCATGCATGATATCATACACGAATCAACCTATCCCACGTAGTGCATCCGTGGCTCCGTGCTCCACGTTTCTCTCGTGTATATCATGCACGCTTGCGTACGTATACACATACATACAAATGTCACATAACGCGCCACGGACGATGGCAGTGACGGCACGTACGTGAGAGGAAACCAGAAGAAACGGCAGACAGTCTGAAACCTTAAAATATTGTCACGTCCACGGGAATGAGACTGTGTTTTTCATACGTGCGTATTACTCCGTTTTATTATAGTTATCGTTCTCTTTCAATTGAGATACTCGAGATTCTCAAATACACGTAATCTCGTGATACTGGAATATTGTTTTGTATCAGATCGAATCATCAGATGTTTACGTTTCCCGCAGCACGTAGGCGCACTGATGTGACTTGAGAGTAACGGGGTTTCAGCAGTGTGATTTGCGCTGTTACTTTTATCACGGTCTGATTAATGTTGCGACATTAATCGGAGCCGGTCGCATTAGCGACTTTTTCTGAAATGAATCTTGAAATTGAAGGAAGAATGTTCTATCGACTGCTCCTAGCAATTTTGCTTTTCCACCTGCAAGTAGGCGGAAATTATTTTGGAACTAATTCTAGGAACGATGATCAATGTTTCTGCAAGGTATTGAATATTATTCTTAATGTTATTTCCTAAGATTCAAATTTATTTTGTTTTTTCTTGTTTTTACATTTATTTGTAGTTTTAAAGATTGTATTATTATTTTTATATCACACATTTATTTTTCTAGTAAAATAAAAAAACTAATTATGTCCTTATAGAAATATCTTAATGTAAAAATGGTTATATATTTATAAATACTATATTTATTATATAGATTATATTATTATGTTTATTATATAGAAAATTAATTATAATTACAGCTGAAAGGGTCTGTAGATGACTGTACATGCAATGTTGATACTGTGGATTATTTCAATAATATGAGAATATATCCAAGAATTCAAAGTCTTCTAGTCAGAGATTATTTTAGATTTTATAAAGTAAACTTAAAACAGGATTGCCCATTCTGGGCCGATGATAGCAAATGTGCTATACGTTACTGTCATGTGCTACCCTGCCAAGATGTAAGCATTTTTTATATTAAATTACTATTTTAAATGAATATGACAGTTCTTTTTATTTTCTGTAATTTGTCACAGGATGATATTCCTGAAGGTTTAAAGGGAGATATTCCAAGAGATATTCATCTTAATGAAAGTCCAGTAGATAAATACAGAGCCAATGTACAAATTAATGACTGCAGGCACAGTGCGAAAGATCATAATATGGAGCTTGGTTATTTGAACACGACAATTAGGTAATTAGTAGGATATTAGTAGTAATTTATATTAATATAAAAATCAAAGATAAAGCTTAAATTTGATTATAGTTCAGAGAATTACAAAGAATTTGAACGATGGCAGCAGCATGATGATGCTCAAGATAATTTCTGTGTAAAAGAATCTAGTCCTGGAGAATATGTGGATCTTTTACTTAATCCTGAAAGATATACAGGATACAAGGGAACCAGTGCACATAGAATATGGCGATGTATTTACATGGAAAATTGTTTTAGGTATATGACTATGTTATATCAAATATGTTGTATATTTGTGTTTATTTTATTGTATTGATTTTATTCGAGTCTATATATGTCATATTGTTTTTTTCATAGGCCTGAAAATTCACCTCACATTTTTATACAATCTTCTAAAATGAATGGTAAGTTCTGCACTGCAAATCCACTCTTAAATCCATTCTCCATATAAATCTATAGAATAAGTGAATAAATCATATTTTTTCATACAATTCATTGATTTTTACTTATGCCTATTTCAGTTGCAGCTTAAACATATTTTTGAAATTTACATAAAATATGATTTTAATTTATTTTAAACAATAATACTAAAAAATTGAATATAATCATATTAACATAATTATAGTTAATATTAAATCAAACATTATTATTCTTCATAAATTATTATTTTTTATTCTTAACATAAATATATTGTTTCAGGAATGTGTTTAGAAAAACGAGTTTTTTACCGAGTTATATCCGGTTTACACACCAGTATCAACATACATTTGTGTTCAAAATATTTATTGGTTCCGCAAGATAGTTTACAAGTATCACCTGATAATCAATGGGGTCCTAATTTGGATGAGTTACAAAGAAGATTTTCTCCTGAAACAACAGGTGATGAAGGTCCAAACTGGCTAAAAAATTTATATTTTACGTATTTACTTCAGTTGAGAGCTCTAGCCAAAGCTGCACCTTATTTGGAAAGAGAGGAATACTACACAGGTAATGAAGTGGAGGATGAAGATACAAGATTGGCTATGAACGATATATTGAATGTTGTTAAGTAAGTATTTTATATTTACGATGCATATGAAATAATTATGAATTGTTTATGCAATTTGTATTTTAGATCATTCCCGGTACATTTTAACGAATCAGTTATGTTTACCGGTGGAGCAGAGGCACAAGTGTTGAAAGAAGAATTTAGACAACATTTTATAAATATTTCACGTATTATGGATTGCGTAGGATGTGACAAATGTAAGCTATGGGGTAAATTGCAAATCCATGGCCTAGGCACTGCATTAAAGATATTATTCTCAGGAAAATTTGATAAATGGGAATCAACACTTAATAATCTTAATCGAAAGTTATTCTTTTTGGAAAGGAGTGAAATTGTCGCTTTGGTGAATGCTTTCGGAAGGTAGATACTTTATTTCTAATTTTTATATAGAAAAGCAGTTCAATTTGTTAATAATAATGAATTTTTGCAGGTTATCAGAAAGTATTTTTGAA